CTTGGAAACATTCGGCGGCGCGTCTCGAACCGGGGGGGGCCCCACCCCCACACTCGGCGCCGTCGATCAAAACCAGAGGGGGCTTCCCTCCCCCCAAACCCCCCCTCCCGAACCCTTCCCCTAAACCCCCCCCCTCCCCGGCGCCGGCGCCAGCGGCCACCAGCAGCGCCAACGACAGGGACGCAGCGACGATGACAACGGGATGCCCAAGAGGGGGAGGGGGTTGAACCCCTCACCCCTCCCCTTCCTGACCCCCCCCCTCCTGGCGCCGAGGGGGGTGGTTCAAACACCCCCCCCCTTCCCCTGGCGCCGGCGCAGGCGGCGCTGGCGGCGGCCAGCAGCGCCGGCGGTGGCGCCGGCGACGGCGGGGACGCAGCGACGATAACCACCACTACCACCACCAACGCCACTACCACCACCACCACCGGCTCAACCCACCACCACCACTACCAACCCACCACACAACCACCACCACCACAGCCACCACCACCACAACCACCACCAACACAACTCACCATCATAACCACCACCACAAAAACCCACCACCACTACCACCACCACCACCACAATCTACCACGCCAGCACCACCAACGCCACGACCACCACCACTACCAGCAGCACAACCCACCTCCACCACCACAAACCGCCACACCACCACCACCAGCGCCACCACCACCACCACCAGCACCACCTCCACAAACCACCACCACCACCACCACAATCCACCACCACCACCACAAACCACCACCACACCACCACCACCACAACCACCACCACCACAACCCACCACGACCACCACCACTAACCACCAAAACACCACCACACCACCACCACCACCCACAACTACAACCACCATCACCACAACAAACAAACACACCACCACCACCACAACCACCACTACCGCCACCACCACCACCACCGCCACCACCTCCATCACAACCCACCACCATTACCACCACCACCGTCTTCGTCGACGCTCCCCGCCGCCGCCGCCCGCCACCGCAGGCGCCAGCGCCGGCCCGGAAAAAAAAATCGTCGTCCCCGCCGCTGCCGCCGCCAGCCGAAGAGAAGGAGAGAAAAAAAATATGGGAGAGGGGGGTCCGGTTCCAACCCTCCCACCCCCTCTTTCAAGCGACCACATAACGAACTCTTCGTACGCATGTATGTAGATGTGTGTATGTATGTATGCATGTCTGTGCATGGATTTGTGTATATACGTATGTATGATTGGTTATGTGTGCATGGGAATATGTATACATGCATCTATATATATATATATATGTGTACATGTGTGTAGGTGTACATGTGTACGCACGCATGACTGCAAACATGTATGTACATGTGTGTCCGTGGATACAAAATTATGTATGTGTGGACGCATGTATGTGCGTATGTATGCGTATATAAAAGAATGCATGCCCTGCCAAATGTAGGGGTGCATACATATATATACACACATATATACACATATATATATATGTCACTCGTACCCTGAAGAGTCCAGACGGGGTCACCAGACAGGCCTAGAAGGGCGCTCGAAAGTGCTCTACAAGGATCTGCGCAGCTGGCCGTAAATTGTAACGCTGCCTCCCGAGAGCCTCCTCACTGTCGAGGGGGCCAGGATTAGGGGCGGTGCGTACAACATTATATATATATATATATATATATATATATGGAAGGCCCGCACAATTCTCTCGACGATCTCAGGCGTAGGTTGACCATCGAGCCCGAGACGCGTGGCAGGGCAGGCAGGAGGCAATTCAGGATGGTATACAACCCTCCACAAAACAGGGCAATGACTGTAATGAAGCATGTCGTCTCGGCACAGGGCGCATTGGAATCTACACATGCCAATCTCAGATGAGTGCAGTCGGGCACTCGTGAGCCAGCCTCCTACAATCGTCTTAATGACCGCACTCTGCCAGGCTGGTGGACCTCCATTTCGGGTGAGATCTCTGAGGGCATCCCACGACGATTCCGAAAAAAGGGAGCTCCCAAGCGGCCAAACGTTTGGCAAGGGTGAGGTGGAGGACATCGGGGTAGAGGGAGAGGCGCAAGGAAGAGGAAAGGGATCTCTGCACTCTCACATGCCCCTGGCTCGAGGCTTCGGCGAGGGCGTCGAGGGCAGTGCGGGCGGCAGAGGCATGAGCCTTAAGCGGGAAAGCGGCCCTGCTGGCCTCAGAAAGATGGACCACGATCGGCTTGGTCCTCCAGAGCGATGGCGACCACCAGCCAGTTGCCATCTCCGCCAAGCTGCCGAAGGCGAGTGTGGACTCTCGCAGCGTGTCGAGTAAAGCCGACCAGTTGGTAACAGTGCCCAAGGCCGTGCGCATGCGCGTGGCCAGGCTGAGGACCTGCATGCTGGCAGGCCGCAAAGACGACCAGGACCCGATGCCGAGGAGCCCGGCCAGCGATAGCGACTGAGGCGGGAGGTGCCAGAGCTTGTGCCACGCCCAGGCCTCACGCCTGACCAGCGCGCGGGGCAACGGCAATAGCTGCATCAAGTAACTGAGGACAGTGAGCACGCGCGAGTTGTAGATCACCGTCGTGATGTGTACAGGCGCACCCTCAAGGGCAAGGTCGCGGATGCGGTGGATCCATTTGGCTCCCGCCTCCTGCCACACGTCGTCAATTGTGGCGCCAGGGCCCAGGATGCAGCCAAGGTACTTGGCAAATGGGACGACGTCCATCTTCTCCCAGCCAGGTAGCTCCAGCGCGAGCCACTCCTTGATGCTGTGCGCCAGCTCCACAGAGAATGGGGCATTCAGGGGCACCACCTTGCACTTGGCCAGCTTGAGGGCAAGACCTGCCAATGTCTGCGCCGCTGCGAAGACCCTGCGGTAGCGGAGCAAGAGCCTGCGGTCCTGCACGACCGTGCCAACGTCGTCGGCGCAGACGCCCACGACGGATGACTCCCATTTCGCCAGGATCTCCTCCATGTGTGCCACGAAGGGGTTCATGGCGACAGCCCATAGGGAGCCCGAGAGCGGGCAGCCCTGCGCGATGCCCGCCGTGACCATCATGAAAGAGCGCAGCTCGCCCTGCAGGGACACGAAGGCCTGCGGCAGCCAGTACATGCCCATGATGAGCTGGTAGAGGCCGCCCTGGAAGCCAGAGCGCAGGAGCACCGCGCGCAGGAAAGAGACGGCCAGGGAGGGGAACGCGTTCCCGAAGTCGAAGAGGACCATCATCGGCATGCGCTGGTCCCTGGTGGAGGAGAAGCCAACCCGACGTGCCGCGGTGTCGAGCAGGGTAATGTTGTCCAGGAAGTTGCGCCCAGGCAGGAATCCCCTCTGAGATGGGGGAGAATGGCGCTCGATGTCGAGTTTGATGAGGTGGTTCACGCTGGCAGCCAGCATCTTCACGTCCGTGTTCTTGAGGGCCAGAGGTCTCGTCGAGGAAGGCGTCCGAGTCGGACCCGAGGCAAGATATATATATATATATACATAGATGTGTGTATGTATATGTATATGTATATGTATATGTATATGTATATGTCTATGTCTATGTATATGTGCATGTATGGATGCACGCACGCATTCATGTATACATGTATGCATGCATGCATATATGTACGTATGTGTGTATCTGCATGTAAGTATGCAGGTCGTCGTGGATGTAGGCAGACCGGTAGGTAGATAGGTGGGTGGGTCGGTATGTATGTATAGATGTGCGCATGAATGTATGCAACGATGCACGCATGCATGTATGGAGGTATGCGTGCATGTATGTATGTACGTACGTACATATGTGTATATGGGTATGTATGTGTGTGTTTACGTTGTGTCTCCATGTGTATGTAAGTGTGCGTGCATGCATGAGTGTATGTATGTATGGTTGCATGGATGCTTTGGCATGTGTGCTTATGTTTGTATGTGTATGTGTGTCTGTATGTATACATGCATGTATGTATGCATGCAGGTATGTATGTAGACATGTGTATGTGTATGTATGCATGTATATATGTATGTGTGCATGGATGTGTGTATATATATATAGGCATGTATGCATGTCTGTATGTATGTATGTACGCACGTGCGTATGTTTATATATATATATATATGTATACTAGAACCACGCGCGCGCTTCGCGCGCGCTTAGGTTCTGGCTGGGAGGCGAGCTTGAGTCAACGAAAGTCGCAGGGAAGGGGGCAGGGGGAAGAAGGCCAGAGAGCGCTGAAGGATACAAATACTGGAACCCTCTTGTGATTTTGTGGGGGGCCTCGTCCGGCCGCTCGCTGGGAGTTTGACGTAGCTTCTCGGGAGCCTCTGAACCTGTCGGGGGCCTCCTGGAAGCAGGTTCGAAGCATTTTGGGGGCCGATTTGGGGCTTCTCGGGGCCTCCTTTGGGCCTCTTGGGGGTCTCCTGGGGCCTCTTGAGGGGCCTCCTTGGGGCCTCCTGGCGGCCTCTTGGGGCGGAAGGCTCGAGCTTGCGGTTCGTGGTCCCCCTCTGGGCCCCCTCTTGGGCCCGTCTTGGGGCCCTCTTGGGCCATCTTGGGCGCCTCTTGGGCCGTCTTGGGGCCCTCTTGGGCCCTCTTGGAAGCTTCTTGGGCCGTCTTGGGGCGGTCTTGGGCGCCTCTTGGGCCGTCTTGGACGCGGTGAAAGCCCAAGAGGCGAACATGCGAAAAATATACGTTTTCCCATAGGAATGGCACGATTTTTGCTTCTTGGGCCTCTCTCGGGCTGCCTCTCGGAGCGTCTTGGAGGCTTCTGGGACCTTCCTGGTGTCATGACAGGCGTCTTGAAGGCATCTGGAGCCATCGGAGCGCGTTCCGAAGCCGCCTGCGAACGATCTTGGACGGCGTCCGGCGGTCCGACGAGCCTCCGGGCCCCCCGGAGCCCACATTTGTGGTCGGGGTCCCGGCCCCGGGCCCCCAGACCCGGTGCGCCGTTATATGTATATATATATATATATATATATATGCATACATGTACACCTGTGTGCATGCTTATCTACCTACTTTCCTTCCCTTCTCCCGACAGCTTGCCTGGACACTGACACTTTTTCTGGATCCTGTCTCGAACGCCGCCAAGACGCTACAGGCAGAGAGCGACGACGGGTGCGTCGCGACGTCGCGCCGGCACTGGTGGGCGGCAACCATCGAGCGACGTTTCGGAGAGGAGCTCTTCGGCACCCCCTATCGGGCAAAAGAAGCCGGGCTCAAGCCCCGAGCACATCGCCAGGAGAAGCGCGCGACAGAGGGCACACGGTCTGGAGCAGCGCCGTGCCCAGGAAGGCGTGCGGCCGACGCCTGCCGCGGCGAGACTCCACGAGCAGCGCCTCTCCGCACCACACGTTCTCGGGCCACTGCAAGCAGAGGCTCTGAGAGTTATGCTCAGGGTCGTCGTAGCAGACGCTGTTCCCAGCCAGGCACGCGGTACAGGGCCCAGCGAAGTCCCAGGCCTTGCCGTGGTGGGCCACAGCCGCCTCGCAGACGCTGGGCTCCCCGCCGGAAGCGGTGGGGGAGGTCGCGGGCGACTCCGTTGGCGCTGGCGTCGGCGTCGGCGCCGCCGGCGTGGGCGACGGGGTCGCGGGCGCCTCCGTGGACGTCGGCGTCGGCACCGCCAGCGTGGGCGACGGCGTCGCCGGCGCCTCCGTGGGCGCCGGCGTCGGCGCCGCCAGCGTGGGCGACGGCGTCGTGGGCGCCTCCGTGGGCGCCGGCGTCGGCACCGAAGGCGCGGGCGACGGCGTCACGCTGGGCGCGGAGGCAAGCGCCCGCCTCACCGGCTCGGACCAGCCAGCGTCGTCGGAGGCGGCCCACAGGAAGGCCCCGCCGTGCCCAGGGAAGGCCGCGGCGACGTCCTGGAGGATGGAGGCGGCCTGGGCGCCGTTCACATTGCTGCCGGTCCCAGAGCAGTCGGAGATGCAGAAGCCAAACACCACTTTGCTGGCGTCGCCGCCGAAGATGCCGTCCACGAGGTGTCCCATGTGCTCTATGGCGGGCTGGGTGTCGATCGCGGGCCTGAACGGGCCGTTGTAATACTGAGGCAAGAGGTAGTCGACGCTGGAGGCGACCTCCTGGAGGACGCTGAAGTACGGCGCCCCAGCGGCGATGTCCCCATCCATGGGCGCGTGGGAGATGATCTTCCCGGCAGGCAGCGCGGCGCGGAGCCCCGTGGTCAGGTCCTTCAGGAACTGGCTGGACGTGTCCGAGTGGTCGTACTCGTAGTCGATCCGCCACCGTGCCATCGGCACGCTGAGGCGCGGCGCGTAAGAGCATGTTCGCTGCTTCGGGCTCCAAGACCCAGCGACGGCACAAGAGAGGCCCGCAAGATCGCCCCAGGACGGCCCAAATGGCGCCCAAGAGGGAGAGCTCGCGCTGGCTTTGGGAGCATTCCTTCCCTCCGACATGGCCCCCCGGACCCGGAACGTGCCCCATAGATGCCTCCAGAGGTCCGTAAGGAGGCGTGGAAGACCTCCAAGATTGCGCCCAGGAGGCCCCTAAGACACTAAAAGAACATTCGTTGCAGGCTTTCAGCGTACTCGCCGTTTCGGACCCCAGAAAACCCAAGACAGCCAAAGAGGCCCGCAATATCGTTTCCCAAATGGCACCCCAAAAGGCCCCGATACGGCCCCGGAAGGCCCAGGGTGCTCCCGAGACGGCCCACGAGGCCCCCAAGAGAGCACTGAGAGGGACCCGAGAGGGGGAACTGGCAATGGCCTTTAGGGCCTTTCCGTTCAGAATGGCTCCCCAGACCCCCGCATGCCTCCACGAGGCACCCAGAGATTCCCAATGCTTCCCCAAGAGGCCCTCGAGGCTGCCCCAGAAAAGCAAAACCTTCACGATGCCTTCAAGAAAGAGGAAGGGTGAGAGAGAAGAAACGGAGCAGGAGGAGGAGGAGGAGGAGGAGGAGGAGGAGGAGGAGGAGGGGGAGGAGGGGAGGAGGGAGGAGGAGGAGGAGGAGGAGGAGGAGGAGGAGGAGGAGGAGGAGGAGGAGGAGGGGGAGGGAGGAGGAGGAGGAGGAGGAGGAGGAGGAGGAGGAGGAGGAGGAGGAAGAAGAGGAAGAGAGAGGAGGAGGGAGGTGGATGGACAACGAAGGAGCTTTCAATTCGGCGCCCTGTTTGACCTGGAGCGGGTCTCGAACTCAGCCTCTCTCTGGCCGCGCCGTTGCGCTGGCGCGGTGGCGGGGTGTGCCTCAGGCAGCCGGATATCCACGCCGTCGAAGCCCTGGCTGTCCACGATCTCCACCAGGCGGCTCACCACGCTGTCCACCCTCCCGAAGCAGTATTCCCAACAATCGTTCACGTCGCCGGCCCAGCTCCCGCCCATGCCCGCGCCGCCGAAGGAGAGCAAGACCTTGGTGCCCGCCTGCCGCCACGCCTCGATCAGGTCTGGCTTGGCCTGGTTGTCGCACGTGGCGGGCATCCCGATGGTGCAGCTCTGGTCGCACTGATTCTTCGTGGGGTTCCACGTGTAGCTGACCGCGAAGGACACGATCACCTTGTCGTACCCCCGAACCTTGTCCAGGCTTGGGCACGGCAGCCAGTTCTCCACGAACGCGACCAGCTGCTTGCTCCCCTCGGGCTCCGGCGCGGGCTCCGGCTCCGGAGTCTCTGGAGGCTCCGTGGGCGACGGCGCGGGCGTTGGGCCTGCGGACGCCCCGCCGCCCTCCACCACCCGGACGTCCGCGCAATTCTTGAACTGCTCGCCGCAGAGCACGGAACCGCCCTGCTCCGCTGGGCACTCGCCCTGGTAGGAGCACACCACGCCATCGCACCACGCGCGTGCGTCCCACCCCTGCCGCTCCATCTCCTTGAAGTAACACCTGTAGGCGTCTGGGTGCGGCGTGCAACTGTTCGCGCTCATCCACCACCACTGCAGAGTGCAGCTCTCGCACGTGAGGTCGGCGGGGATCCAGTAGTGGAAGCGGTGCTGCGTGCGAGTGAGGTGCGACCCGTTGTGGGGCGGAAGGTACCAGTGCCCAGGGTTTGCCTCGTCGTAGGGCTGACAATCGCCTCGTGGGTCGTCTTTCTGGCAGTCCACGTGGACCTCCTCTGGCCTGGCCCGGCTCAGGACGTGCTCATTCAGGCACTCCTCCTGCGCCTGGTAGTCACCGGCCTGGCTGTCCAGGCGCTGGCCGCAGAGCCGGAAGACGAAGTGCCCCTTGTGGTGGGCGGTGACGGTGATCACGAATTCGGCCAGCTCCCCCGCCCGCAGCTCGGTTACCGGGCCGACCGCGTCCAGGAAGTGGGCGTTCCCGCAGGTCGCCATCGGAAGGTCGGTGGACCCCAAGCACTGCGGGCAGTAGCCGTTCCCCACGTTCTCGTAGGCCCCGCCGCGCATCTCCGGCTTAGTGAGGAACGCATGGCCGCTCGCAAGGGCGGGCAGCAGGCCCAGGGCCAGGACGAGGGGGGAGCTGCCCATGGTGGGGAGGCTTTGGGCCGCCAGAGGGGACGCTCGAGACTCGGCCTGGCGTCGGGCTGCTCGTGCTCGAAATAGCTGCGGCCTTGCGCGCCTCGGCTTCCTCCCCCGCGCCCTCCACCCTAGTCCCCCTCCCCCGAGAGAACTACAATGGGCGACGGCTTTGGATATCCGCCCCAGGGGGGGCCGTCTCTCGGGCCGCGGCGCCGTCGCGAGTGGACTCGACGCGCAGGAGCCTGCCGACAGACGACGTCGAGAGCTCGGGCAGAGCGTCTTCTGCGGGCGCCTGCGAGGGGGGGTGTCAGAACTGGACTGGTACCCCCCCCCCCCCGAGTCCGCGGCACTCTCCCCCAGGGGAGGCACCCCCATTACCAGCCTCGAACGTATCCCTATCCCTAAGATCGACACGCCAAAAGGCGATGACAATCTTAGGGATTCGCCTTCAAAAAATTAGGGAATCCCTAAGAGATCGGCATCATGATGAGAAGATGCCCAGCATAGGAATAGGGATATGTTCCAGGCTGGTAACCCCAGGGGAGGGGAACCTCCCCCCTTCGAAAAGTCGGGCGGACAGGTGCCACCCCCGCCCTCCGCTCGCGCCACGAGCACGACGACGACGAGCACGGCGAGGCCCCAAAGAGGCTCCCAGGAAGCCCCCGGGAGGTTTTCGTGCTGACCCCAAGAGGCCTCCGCTGCTTCCTCCTCCTCGTTTTCCTCTCTCTTCTCCTCCTCCTGCTCCCAAATTTGAGCAGGTACCGACCGTCCCGGCATTCCTATACTCATACCACGAAATGTTCTGAGAACCCAAAAATGTTCTAAGAACCAAAACAATGTTCTTAGAACATTAGCCCGATGTGTTAAAATAATACAGTCCCAGCCAGAAATGTTCTAAGAACATTTCGTGGAAACCACAAAAACGGTTCTTAGAACATGGTTTGGTAGGGCTATAGGCGAGCCAGGACGCTTCGCCACTGCTCTCCCAAATGTTCCCCCTAGGGGTTCCACAACGGGTGGAGGAACACGTAGTTCAATAGCTTGGCCAGCCGTGGGCATAAAGTTTGGCCACATGGGCGTTTACACGAGGCAGAGGGCGGATTCGCCGTATGCGTCTTCGATCCGCCATCCTCGTGCTTGCCACAGGGGTGCACGACGTTCTAAATTCCAGAGTGTTCTGGCCATGCCAGACGTTTCCCAATCAAGAGGGCCAACCTCAAAGTTCGCCCAAGGCCCCCAAGATGCCTCCAAGAGGCTCCTAGGGAGCTCCCAGGAGGCCCCAAGAGTGCCCCCAGAGGCTCCTCCTCCTCCTCCTCCTCCTCCTCCTCCTCCTCCTCCTCCTCCTCCTCCTCCTCCTCCTCCTCCTCCTCCTCCTCCTGATCTTCCCCACCATCCTCCCCCAAGTGGTGGCTTGCCACAGGGGTGCACGGCATGATGATTGTCTGAATGGCTCTGGCTCGTTCAAAAGATCGCAGTGGGGTCTCGCCCCAACCAGCCGGCTACCTGGAGAGCCGCCGAAAATTAGCTCTCCGGTGGCCTCCCGCACAAGATGCCCTCGAGATGGCCTCCTAGACGGCTCCAAGACGGCCAAGATAGCCCCACGAGAGCCCGAGCTGGCCGCAAAATGTCGCGCCCAAGATGCACCCAAGAGCCAAAGATAGTCTCAAGATGGCCCAAGACGGCCCAAGAGGTCCCCAAGAGGCCTCCAAGACGGCCCAAGAGGCCTCCAAGAGGTCCTCCTGGAAGGCCCGAAGAAGCCCAAAGTGGGGACGTGATTTAACTTGTTGAAGGAGCTTGGCATTGCTCATGGTCGGCCTTCCTACGGCCCACTAGCGCTCCAAGAGGCACCCAAAATCGCCCAAGATTGCCCAAGGGGGCTCCAAGATGGCCCAATGCCGGCCCAAGAGGTCTCCAAGAGGACTCCAAGAGGACCCAGGAAGACCTCCAAGACGCCCAAGATGGCCTCCAAGACGGCCCTGAAGCGCCCCAAGCGGGCCCCAAGTCGGCCCAGAGGAGAGGCCCCCAAGACGGCTCCCGACGGCGTCAGACGGGCCAGGAACGCCCTCAGACGGCCAAGCCTCCCAAGGAGCCTCCAGAGGCCCCACAGAAGCCCGAGCAAGCAGCCCCAAGAGGCCTCCGAGAGGGCCCCCGGGAAGCTCCCAGGAGTGCCCCAAGAGGCTCCCAAGAGGCCCCCAAGAGGCGTCCTCATCCTCCTCCAATTCCTCTGTTCGCCCCCCTCTCTTCTTCTTCTTCTTTTTCTTCTTCTTCTTCTTTCTCCTCCACATGTTCCCCGAAGGGTTTCCGCAACGGCTGGGGGAAGACAAAGCTCTGGCCAAAATGTTCGGCCACAAAGGCGCTTCCAAAAGGCAAGGGGCGGATGTGACTTGCCGTAGGCGTCTTCGATACGCACACGCACAATAATCCCTGGGCCCTACACCACTTTCAGGCGGAATGAGAAAGAGAGAGAGAGAGAGAGAAAAAAAAAAAAAAAAAAAAAAAGAGAGAGAGAAAGAAAGAAAGAAAAACAAAAAAAAAAAGAGAACGAGAGAGAGAGAGAGAGAAATACGGAAAGACGCAGAGAGAGAGAGGGAGCGAGAGAGAGAGAGAGAGAGATGGAGAGATATGAAGGAAAAGAGATAGAACGAGGAGAGAGCAGACGCACCCCTGGGGCATCTGGAGCCCCCTAAAAGCCCCAAGACAACCCAACAGACGGAGACAGAGCGCCAAGACAGTCGAAGAGAGCGTCATGACGACCCAGGGTAGCCCCACGACGATCCGAGATGACTTCAAGATAGGCCACGAGGCCCCCAAGACACCCCAAAAGCGCCTCCAGAGGATCGCCGACGTCCCAAAAGCGCCCCCAGAAGGCCCCCAAGACATCCCAGGACGTCCCAAAAACGTACACCTTCAGCACATTCGCATGTACGTCTTGACAGCGAACACGACGGTACAAGCGGCCCCCGAGATCGTCCTAAGACGGCCCATGATGCCTCCAAGAGGGCCCCAAGACGGCCCATGAGGAGCCAAAGACACCCCCGGGGCCTCCCCAGGACGGCCGAAGACGGCCCCTGGAGAGCCCCAAGGGGGGCTTCAAGAAAGCCCAAAAGGGCTCCATGGATGGCCCCTCGAGCCCCTCGAGCCCCTCGAGCCGTTCCCACCGAGATGGCCCCTCGAGCCCCCCAAAGGCCCCCGAGGGCCCTCCAAGAGGCCCCAAGAGGCCTCCATGACGCCCCCAAGGAGATCCCCGGAGGCCCCTACGAGGCCCCAAAGAGCCTCCCGCATGCCCCCAAGAGTTCTCCAAGAGGCCCCAGAGAGGCATCCCAAGAGACCCTCAGATTCATCCAGGAGGCTCCTGACCCAAGATACAATTTGCACGATCGTGCATTCCTGCACTTCTCGCCACCGCCGTTCCCTACGAACCCGGCCGACTTTCTGTTCAGGTGCTCGAACGGGTGGTCATCATTGGAGAGTGCCGTGGGAAGCCAAACGACGGCCACCTCACTGCCAACCGCGGTCTGCCTCAACGACCGGGCCACGATTTGGCACAGTCTGGAGGGCGTCGTCAGGCCGTCGCGCGGCCGTCTTGGGACTGCTGTGGGGCCCTCTTGGTGCCGTGTTTGGGCTCTCTTCGACTTTCGGGGTGCCCTCTGGTAGGGGGAGGAGGAGGAAGAAGGAGGAGGAGGAGGATGATACTGCTGCTGCCGCTGCTGAGGAGGAGGAGAACGTGCGGATGCGAGTTGGGACGCCTCCTGTGCGGTCTCGCGCGAAGCCCAGAGGACCGACGAGACCAGCGCTTCAGAAGAGTGATGCTTCGTTGCGCCTGAACGGCCCCATGGGGGCCGTGCAGTCGGGGCGTTGACCCAAGGAACCTTAGGCGAGGCCCCTTTGTCCCATGTTGAACTTCGCTTTCCCATGGAAGACCTCCGGAAAATCCAAGGCAAACTGCAAAACGATCAAGGAACACTGAGCCCATCCCCAACGAAGAGGGCTCCTTCTTCAGCGCCCCGACTGCATAGCTATCGTCTTCGGGCGTCTTGGGGGTGTCTCGGGGGCCGCGTGGGGCTCGCCGGGCAGCTTGGCCACCCTCCCGACTGCTCGGGCCTCTTGGCTGGGCCCGCCAGGAACGACGAGAAAGGCCGAGGGCCCAGGGGGGCCCTCCGCGAGGGGGCGTCCAGGGGGCCGTCGGGACCAAGGATCCAGTGGGTCTGGTTCTGGAGGGGCCCCCCAGGGAAGATGGAAATGAGTCCATTTATGGTCCAGGGTCTGGGCACCCCCCTCATGCTGTTGCCATCGGGCCCCCCCCCCCCCGCGCGATGGCCCTTCCCCCCCGGTGGGCGTGGTGTGGTGGGGCCTTCCCCTGTGGGCGTGCGGTGGTGGGCATGGGGTCTGGCCTTCCAACCCCCGCCCCTGTGGGTGTGGGGTGGTGGGGGGGGGTGGTGGTGGTGGTGGTGGTGGTGGTGGTGGTGGTGGTGGTGGTGGTGGTGGTGGTGGTGGTGGTGGTGGTGGTGGTGGTGGTGGTGGTGGTGGTGGTGGTGGTGGTGGTGGTGGTGGTGGTGGTGGTGGTGGTGGTGGTGGTGGTGGTGGTGTGGTGGTGGTGGTGGTGGTGGTGGTGGTGGTGGCTGGTGGTGGTGGTGGTTGGTGTGGTGGTGGTGGTGGTGGTGGTGGTGGTGGTGGTGGTGGTGTTGGTGTGGTGGTGGTGGTGTGGTGGTGGTGGTGGTGGTGGTGGTGGTGGGGTGGTGGTGGTGGTGGTGGGTGGTGGTGGTGGTGGTGGTTGGTGGTGGTGGTGGGGATAGTGGTGGTGGTGGTGGTGGTGTGCGGTGGTGGTGGTGGTGGTGGTGGTGGTGGTGATGAGTGGTTGTGGTGGTGGTGGTGGTGTGGGGGCGGTGTGGTGGTGTTGGGTACTGTGGTGCTGGTGCTGGTGGTGCTGGTGGTGCTGGTGGTTGTGGTGCTGGTGCTGGTGGTGCTGGTGGTGCTGGTGGTGCTGGTGGTGGTGGTGCTGGTGGTGCTGGTGGTGCTGAAGGTGCTGGTGCTGGTGCTGGTGCTGGTGCTGGTGGAGGTGGAGGTGGAGGTGGAGGTGGAGGTGGAG